GATGGATGGATGGATGGATGGATGGATGGATGGATGGATGGATGGATAGGTAGGTAGGTAGGTAGGTAGTCCAAAACTCCACTCTCCTGGCCTGTAACAGGTTCCTTCATGCAAAACTCTAAGTTTGTATGCTGGTACTTTAGTTTAAGCTCCTTTGTTCTGTTTACTGGCCATGAGGCCAGCCCATCCATAATTAGAATTAGACAGGGTTGTATTATATTCTAAAGTATCTTGTGAATTTTTATTAGGATCATATACAATTTATACAAAACAAAAAGGTGCACACACTCCACAGCCGATTCACCGCATTTTGGTGGTAAAAGGTAAAAATATCTCCAGCAAAACATGATAACACAAATTATTTAAGCTCCAACTTTAATTTTAATAGAGAGCCCTCTAAACGTTTAAAGACTTCCAACTTGCATTTTAGTATTGGTTCTATTTGTTGTTTTCTGAAATACAACACTCATTGATTTATCAAGTTTAATAAATGTACATTTAACTTATGTCTGAAGGAGTACATGTGTCTTAAATTCCATCCATCATCCATCCATCCATCCATCCGTTATCTTTACCCGCTTCTTCCTGGGGTCACTGGTACCCATATCCAGCAGTCACTGTGCTAGAGGTGGGGTACACCCTGGACAGGTTGCAAGTCCATCACAGAGATACATAGAGACGAACAAGACAAACAACCATTCACACTCTCACTCACACCTAAACTGTATATTAAATTGTTTACTTATGTTTGTTTGTTACGTGTAAACAAAATCGAGAATCTGCTATAACATTTTGGACATTATTCTAGGTCAGGAAGAAGGATACTTTATTCATGCTAGCACAGCATCCAGTAAACAGGGAGATTCAGCCCAACTGGAAACACAAAAGCTGCATCCCAAAAGGGAATGTAGAGTCCAGTGTCTGCATTTCTACTATTATCACAGTGGAAATGATTCAGATGAACTCAACATCTGGATCAGAGAGTTTGAAGATGAACAGGACTCCACAGGAACCCTCCAACTCATGGGACAGATCACTGGTAAATTGTGACTCTTTGCATAGTATACTACATTAAATTTTAACAGCCCAGCATAGTAATCCAAATCCACCCTGCAGGCCCACCAACATCTCATTGGAAGCTTCACCATGTTTCTCTCAATTCATCTAAGCAATTCCAGGTTGTGTTTGAGGTTCAGAAAGGAGCAGGGGACTCTGGAGGCGGATTTTCCATTGATGACATCAATCTCTCCGAGTCTGAATGTCCACATATTATTTTGCAGATTGATGAATTTGAGACTTGTTTAAACAGTAGCAACTCTGGAACCCGATTATACAGTCCACGGCAGTACTCCAAAGATGGCTATGCCTACCGGGTAGCTGTTATACTCTACCAGACATACGTTGGAACGTTTGTGCAACTTTTGTCTAGTGACAATGATGACCAGCTGAAATGGCCCTGCCTGCACAAACAAATGACTTTCCAATTGCTGGATCAGAATCCCAACATGCAGCAACAGATGTCAAAACAGATGAGTTTCACATCCAACCAAAATAGTCTGAAATTGAATGGTAAGTTTTAAAAGGAATGTTAAGGTTACAAAGCAAAGAGGTATACAATTAAAACCAAAAGATTTTACATCTATTCATTTTTGTCTGGAAAATGTTTTTATTTAACAGATACCATTCTCTGGGACAATCCTCGCAAGACAGCAAGGATGGTTTTTTATGAGAATTCTGAGTTAGTCCATGGTGGAATGTTGTTCGGGTACATATGTTTGATGACATTGGAGGAATTACATTTCAGAGATTTCCTCAAGGGAGGGAGTGCTATCTTTATGTTTAACTTTGAAGGTAAGTTTAATATATTTTATTGAGAAAATTATTTGTTGAACTGGAATTTAAATATTGTGAGAAATATGTCCTTGATCACTGAGAATATGATCCCATATTGTTCAGGTGTGGTTTGAACACTGTATTCATAACTAGGTACTTGACCATATGACTTATTGCTGTTGGGATTTTTAATTGTTTGCTTTTATCACACTAGATGGCTAGAAAAAGTCGGTATTGTTTAGAATAGTTGAAAATTAAAAGTGTTTAATAAGACTTTTTCCTTTGCATTCTGATCCCACCCACCTTTTTTGTCCTTTGATAGATCTTACTCCCCTAGTTAATGGGAGTACTCTGCCATGTCCTAAAGTAAGACCAATGAGCATTACGCATTCACCCACAAATCACTTTGAAGGCCTAAATTCAACATGGTGAGAACAACATGGTGTGTCAGAATGCACCATAAATATAACCTCGTTGATACAATTTTACCTTTTAAAACAAAGCTTGAAAAGTTTGTAGGATTTAGCACTGAAGTTAAAGTTAAGAATCCATTTCAAATACGCTGCTCTTTCACAGGAACCCAACCTCTACAAGTCCATCTCCTACAACAGATGGTCACAGGTATGTAGTCAGTGGAAGAAATCATGTACAAAAATGTAACAAAAACAGCTACCAGTACATTATAAAGTGATATAAAATACTAAAAACAGGAACATGTCTACATTGGTTTTTGCCATGAACTTAGCAGTTGTTTTAAATCCCTTAGAGAGGTCAAGGTTGAGAGCTTCTTTTGCAAAGCTCCACAAGAGAAGAGCCTGATAATTGAAAGATCTTCCTCCCGTTCTGTTTTCGGAAACTTTAGGGACCGCGCAATAATCTGCAGTCTGAGAGCGAAGCGCTCTGTTAGGAAAATATTGAACAAGATCTCAAATATAAGATAGAGCTAGGTTGTTGAGAGCTTTGTAGGTTAGAAGTAAGATTATGACAACAGTTGACAAATGGTATCTGCACATTTGCTCATGTTCTACACTTACAATAGTTACAATAATATAGTTATTTTCCATTTACAATGTCTAATGTAGATATTTTATGACTTTGTGTCTACTATCAAATAACATTGTGAATTTTACAGGATATCATCCACCATTATTCAGTCTCCCACTACAACAAATGATAACAGGTACTGTATTCCAACATTTGACAACATAATTAGTAGACAAAATGTTGTTATAGCAAGCCAAAAAGTGGTTCAGTACAGATCTGTATAATGAAAAAAGGAGTTGGTAAGCTGAAAGAAAAGAAAATTGTCTAAATTGTACGCACTTCCATGCAGTTGGATTGTTTTTATACAATGACACGAAATATTACAAGGCAACATGGTAATATCTTGCTGACAATCTATGCAGCATTTCCTCCATACTTTTTTGTGTGTAGTAGGGTAATATTTTTTCTAGGTACTCTACATCCATAGTATGACATGTAGTGCATGTTTTAGCTGTCAAATAACATTGACTTTTCCAGAAGTTCTCTTCCATACCTTCACTTCCCACAGCAGAGCATAAAAACAAATATTCAAGCAAATCATAAGGAAATATACTGCTGCAAGACAAAGCATGCTGTATTACAGATAGCAGTTACAAATTAATGCATTTAACTTGTATTCTTAAAATGATCCAAATGGTATATCATTGCAGTTAAAATTTAATGGCAATATAGTATTAGTATGCTGAAAAATTCTTGTTTAAAACTGTAGGAATAAACATTCAGAAGCATCCAGTGTCTGGATTACTGCACCAAATTGCAGTAAATATCTGGAAGATAAAGTTAGAGAGGCCAGACTGAGATGTACTGTATGTGCAAAAAATGGGACAGTGAGTATTTTGGTTGAAGGATTTTTTCTAAATGCAGCTGCCAGGAAAATACAAAGAGGAGATTTATGGATGTAGTTTGAGTGAACATGGAGGTAGTTGGAGTGAGGACACAGGACGTAGAGAGCAGAGTTAGATGGGGGACTCACTAAGACCAAGCCCTGAAGAGGGAAAAGCCGAAAGAAGTGTAATGTAGGTGTAACTTGACTTTTAAAGTGTATCACTGTGTATCACTCTATATCATGTATTTAATCAACTATTATCTTTCTGCTGTAGCACTTTTTCATTCTCTCCTGGTATGGTGGCTTCTCCAGTCCTCATAATAGTGCTGGCATCGATGTTTTTGATGCTTTGACACACACCTTCCATTTGCATCTATTTCCCGCATGGACAGCAACAACAGTGCTCCCATATTTCTATTCAATATATACACTGTATATATATTTAAAGTGAATTTTGAACAAGTTCAAGTGGGATATTTCGATTAGGAATTTTTTAGTTTATTGTAAATTTCGAGCTCCTCCTGGTGTAAAGTCATGAACATGTAGTGCTTGAAATTTGGCTCTGATGTTAAAGGATTTCCTGATATAACCATATTTTTTTGTTAAATACATACAGTATATTATTAAGCAATTCCTATTTGAAGCAGGATTTTTGTGTTGTGGTTATGGATAAACTTGGTTTATAAATTTTGAATGTGACAATAATTAGTTAAAAACTATATTTTGTACTACTAGATATTAATCACATAATCATGTTTTCCTGTGTCAGTGCTTGGTGGACTGTTGAAAATAAGTTTTAAAATCAAATATGTATGGTTCTGAGTAGTACAAACCCATTTCTTCAGCTAAAATGTCCCAAGTGTCTGTTCATTGTCATCATAAGAGCTTGTGATCCTAACAGGAATGTTATGTATGGGAGGCCAGGCAAGACTTGATTCAGAATTAGCTTGCACACCTAATTAAGTCTTACCTGGCCTCCTCATAGTTCAGACTCCCAATGGCTTCGCTGTTTGAAATTAGCTGTCATCCAATATCTTGTGCATTAAACAGCATTCATCCATTGTCAGGGAATTCTTGGTCTTGCTTTTATATATATATATATATTTATATATAGGTTATGTATGTTTTATGTATTATGGCTGAGAACAAGAAGTAAGAAACAAGAATTGTATCTCTGCCCATAAACCATGTTTGTGTAAATGGAAAGGGTTGTGCAAAAAAACTGCAGCTGCCTTCAAGAGCACCTCCTGAACTTGGCTGGCATGAGAGAATTAGAAAAGTGAGCAGATAATGCCACCCGTGGCTTTTTTTCTGACAGCTTTTCATGCATGTACATCATGTATGTGATACATGTCTATGTATGTAACTTGTCCTGAAATTTGACCTTGTATAAAATAGAAGTTAAAAATCTCCTCCTGTCATCGAGTATGGTTCTTTTGGGTATTGTTTTTTGAGCTGGATTATGATAACAGCAAATATATTTTTGGTACGTTACAATGAGGCTCCCCTTAAAGATTCTAATAGTTTATAAAAATTGTTATTAATTCCTCTATAAACTCTTTATAAATCATTAATTGTTATTGTGCATTAAGTGTGAGAAAGAGACAAAACTGAGCAGTTTCTTGCCAAATAGTGAGTCAAATCTGCCACCTGTATATTTCATCTTAAGCATTTCAGACTAAAAGTTACTGCCTTGTAAGCACAAATATTTGTAAACCTATTTTTTTTAGGATATAATATTGTACTTTATCACTGCATTATAAATATCTACAACTATAGATACTTATGATTGGCATATATCTTAGATATTTTAGTCTATCATTTATATATTAGATCCTTATACTGTATGCTATACTTTATATTTTTGCTACTTTGAGTGTTACTGTGACCTTGAGTAGTTTTGTTCCACCTCATGTACATTCCCATGTGATGTGAATGAAAATACAGTACCTTGAACTTAAGTCCAAATCTGCTGAGGGTGTTTGCATGTGAAACAGCTTTTTGAAATAAGATAACCTTCTGACCTGACATGTCTAAATTAAATCTGCCTTTAAAATCACATTTAAATCGTTGTTCTCATTTGCCTTTGGGTCATTTCTTGTGCTGCAAGTCTCAGAACACTTTCCCAAATGTGCTTTTACTTGTTTGACTTAAGGACTATATTTTTGTGGGGTATGTAAACTTCACTCCTCAGGGCAGGCACACATTTCTGTGCATTTTAAATATTTTCCTGCTTCAACACACCTGACTGAAACTGATGGGTGGCTAATAGGCTTCTCCAGAACTTGAAAAAGCCAATTTGTACAAATAAGGAACTTGTTGGAAAACGCAACAAATCTCAAGTGTGTCTCTTTTGTAAAACAGGTAACATGTTATAAAATGTGTTTTCTAAATGTTTTCAAAAGCATTAGTTTTATTGCAGTATTCTAGCACAGAAGAAACACCCAATTGAATAAAATTCATCCCTTACTACTCAAATACTAACTAAAAAGATACCAAGACTCAAAAACAAAAATACCGTAGGTGCAACAAGATCTTTCAATTAAATTCTTTCAAATGATAAGAGCTAATACCTTTAATGTACATTTTTAAGTTTCCCTTTTTTTATGCAAATAACTGCATCCCCCTGAAAGCCACAACAAAGGCTGATTTCATGAAGAACTGTTCTATGGCTAAATCAGTTTTGAAGCATCACCCTGCAGCCAGTTTATAAATGAACAATGACACAATTCAGTTGTACAAAATGTAATCACATTTATTTCAACCCATACATGATCATAATATATTATACCATACTGTACCACGTACTTTAAATTTCACATCACGTTCTCATGCATCATCTTAAGCCCGCTGATATACATCACTCTAACGTCTCAGTATATCCAAAACATTATACAGGAAAGACATGTGTGCTACAGTATGTAGGCATGGCTTGGCCAGTCCTGGCTTCTTGGTAGTTGTCTTCGTCTCTCTATTAGCCCCGGAAATCAAAGTTGGAAGAGAGTCTTTGAATTCATTTCCTAAAACATAGTTCAGGTTCTTGTGTCTCTGTGCCAGTACAAGCTGCTGTCTGTGAGCTGGTTCCAGGCAGTCTGTGCACCTCTAGCCAATAGTGACTCCAAAGCCGCACTGGAACTTGTTTTTACGATGGTTGAGGAAAGCCCCCAGGGCCAGTGTGAGAGGAAGTGGAATGAGTTTCTTTTCAAGAGTTGCCCCAACCACCCAATTACTGTCAACTGTGCCTACACCAAAGAAAGTTTGGGGGAAAAAAACATTTATTAAATATACAAATATTTAGATTGTATAGATTCCTCTTGTAGCCATTTATTCTGCAGGTAGACTATGTTGTTGTGTTTACCTTTAAAAAGCAAATTAGCTTTGGGAAGGTCCAGCTGATAACCGAAAGTAGTTGTTGTGTCCTGCATCCTTGTGTTTGCTTCAAATTCAACTCCTACCTGTAACTGTAAAAACACACAAGCCAAAGTAGGTTATGGTATGTTGATTTTACTAGTGCTTTTATGTTTGTGTGAACTAGACACAAACTCTCCCAAAAATATCCTGATGCATGCTCAATAATCCAGGTAGAAAAATCCAAAAAAGTTCAATCTGGTCCTCTGGACATTCAAAAAAACAAAAAACAAAACAAAGCAAAAAATTTTATTTTATTTTTTTTTGCTTTGTTTTGTTTTTTTGAATGTCCAGAGGACCAGATTGAACTTTTTTGGATCTCCCAAAAATAGTTAAACTTTTTTTTTTTTTTTAATCGGTCACTGATTCTGGATCATGCAACATCCTCAGATTTAGCTTTAAATTAATTTGGGCTCTTATTTCTTGATAATAATCCTCCATTTTTTAAAATTCACTAATTAGATAACTGTATTCAAATAAACCAGGGGCGTCCAATCCTGGTCCTCAAGGGCCACTATCCTGCAAGTTTTACAGGTTTACTTCCTCCAACACACCTGACTGAATCACTGAGTGGGCTTCTGCAGAACATGAAGAGGTAATTCAGTCATTAAATCAGGTGTGTTGGAGCAGGGAAACGAGTAAAACATGCAGGATTAGGCCTGTCACGATAACAAATTTTGCTGGGTGATTAACTGTCTCAGAAATTATTGCAACAAACGATAATACTGTTTGAAATTTGACAATAATTAGCAATTATTGTCAAATTTAAGAAGAAATGCTGGTTAATTTGTTTTGGGTGTAGTACCTTTTTTGACCACCAGATAACAGTTTAAGTGTGTTTGAACCGAAGGATGGATAGTGAGGGAGCGAGCAGCGTGTCTCTTTAAGAAAAAAGGGAGGGAGGCCTCTTGACGTGGCATGGGCTGTCTCTCGTTCCTTTTATTCGGTTCTCAAAACGGCGGGCGGTCTGTGTGGTTTGAGCTCTTTAGCATAGCATTTGTCACACAGTAAACAAGTTCTCAGCTTCTTTTTGCAGAGAAAAATAATTTTTTACACTAAGGCACAGGTTTCAACCATGATTTTTGGAGCTTCAACAAGACAGAGTTTTTTTCCCCTGAGGTCAGCCTGTTAGCTTAGCTCGTAGCTAAGTCTCTCAGCTTAGCTGCTTTTAACGATCAAAAAACACAATTTTGGATGGTTAAAATAGATTTTAAAGAGAAAAGAGAAAGGGATGGGTCAGTGAAGAACAGCAGAGTTAAGCTGTTTGTCATCCAATGTATTCAGTTGAAAGAGAGACATGAAGAAACGATAAAGCTTATAAATGAAAATTAGGTCGATAATTTTCATTTATCATGTGATTAATTGATTTATTGTGACAGGCCTATGCAGGATAGTCTTCAGGACCAGGATTGGACACCTCTGATCTAAACCATTTAAATCACTCCAGACAAAATGAAATTTTAAAATGTGAGCCAAGTTGCAAAAGTAGGATTAAAGCTTTTCAGCAGTGCAAATTAGTATCACCCCACAAATACCTACTGACATTCAATACCTGGTCATTTGCTTTGTGATAGTATGTAGCATGAGCTCCAGTTCCTCCCAAAGTTAGAGTTGCAACAAAGTTGTCACCTGAAAAGTTAAAAGTAAATATGTTGGCTTGCTGCAGATTAAATATCTGGACTTGAAGCTACGTATTAAATTGACAAGCATAAATACATATCTGATTTTACCTGTGTACCTGCCCAATAGGGAGGTGACAGTCCCTTCCTCTCCTGGTCTTTTGTGGTACACCAGCTCACTGCCCAGAACCAGTGCTGGTGTGATTGACTGGAGATAGTGAGCAACTATTATACCTGGAATAAAATCATAAAATCTATTAATGTACTGAATCAAAACATATAGGTTGAATATGCCCCTCAGCATGAAACAATATAGATATACATTATATTTATATATAAATATTGAATATTTACCCTCCCTAAAGTTCTGCTATTTCAACAGTGTCATGTTTGTTCCTTCTTTTAGGTTGATGTCAAATTCAATGAAATCTGTTGAACTTTAAATGTGAAAAATGTACATGTTCTACCACCTTCCAGTACCTAGTATGAGTATTAAAACCAAGTGAGTGAACAATTATCACTGAAGCCTTAAAAACAGTTTCCAATGCAATCTAAACCAACGCTGATGATAATTTCTTCATCTCGTCATTTACCTGGAATCTGTTATTTTTCTCCAAAAATACATCATAAACAACATATTTTAGTTGTGCTACAATATTAGACAATAAATGACTGCTTCATGTTTCCTGATATGATTTCTGTGCAGATGGGCTGTCATAGAAAGGCAGTCATTTTCTGAGAGAGATGGTGTTCATTGTTGCCATACAGACGCCCTCTACCTGCAGGTTTTGGAGGCAGATTCAAGTCTTTCAACAGTTCAGCTTAAGTTATGACTGTTGGGAAACTAGTTGGTGGAGAAACTCACAATTTGGGGAGAATTCTGAGAAAATCACCTAAATTCTAGTTGTAATCTCATTGAACTCCGAGTGTTTGTGACTAAATGACCAAAAACAGTTTGGCTGCATTTTAAACAGCCAGTATTTGAAAATCGTAGTGTTTTCGTGTGCAAGGTTCGTTAAAATGTATTCTTGGCAGTGCTCATTATTCCATTGTCCACCTACATCCACCTGGCTGCCACCCCTACTATTTTGATTTAATCTGCTGGAGTATGCTTTTAAAATAAAGATAAGCAGAATTAAACTATTTGTTTAGACCCTGCGTCCACATATGGGACATTACATTTTGGTTTTGCTGTAACTTATACTTCACTCTGTTCAATAGTGTTTTATACTTTAAGCCATGTTAACGTTGTTGTGTTATGCTGTAAAATAAGCTTATTATCCCCATCTGAGGACTTTTAAAAAATATATATATTTTTTTTACAAAAGTATGTCATAACCATGTAACAAAAAACAACTTCCTGTTCAAAGGGGACGCTTTATTTATACACAAATCAGGTCCATCTAATCACAAATATCTAGGAGATATGAAAAATGCATCGCAAACCAGAGCTCGGGTCTCAGGAGGTTAAATAATAATTCATAATTAGTGCGTTCTTTAGACCTGGACGTTTGCATCAGATGTTTTCTGTAAGAGGAGAGCTCCCAAGCAGGTAAAAAAAAACAAACAAAAAAATATATATATATATATATATATATATATATATATATATTTAGGGCTTTTTTTATTAGTATCAGAGGTCTGCAACAAAATTCAGATGAGTTCCAAACAGACAGGAGACACCTGAGAAAAGAGCATTTGCCATCTCCTCCCAGCCCAGTGAGATACCACCGTTACAGAAATTATTATTTTAGGGAATATGTTTTTTTAGATAGCATCCAAACAGTTGATCCTCAAATCATTCAAGATTTGCTTTTCAGACCACATCTGATGTTTGATTCTTCTGAAAAAGGAGAACATATTTATCATAACTAAAACCCGACTCTTCTGACTTTAACAAATAAGACCTATTCACCGCATTGGTTTGATTTCAAATGAAAGATATAAATCAGCTATGCTATAGAGGTCTTTACTCTTAACTGACATTTTTCTTTTCTAATCACACGTCATACCAGATCCAACGAGAACATCTGGGTTTCCGAGTGTCACAGATGTGGTGAAGTCCTGACCACGATATTCCATGTCACACTGCCAGTTCACAAACTTATGCTGCTGAGTCTACAACAAACGAAAAATAAATCTAATAAAATCTGCATGACAATGTAAGCAATAAAGTTGCAACAGATCGTATAATCAAAGATTGCTTCCTTTGCATAATCTCCATACCTGAATGGCTATTTTGGAGCGTACAGCATTTGTAAGCTGATGGATGACTTGGGCATTAAGACTGCCAGTGTTGTCCATATCTCCAACCATGACTGGAAATGACTAGAACACAACATGCCATTTCCATGTTAAGTAAATGATTGCTAACAAAGAAAGAACGTCAAACAGTTTTGAATTATAAAACTTTCTGACCTTTATTCTAAATATTGCTGTTAATGTCTATTGACTGTGTACTTGTGGTGTACAAGCAATACCAAATTGATGTAAACTAAGTACAAATAAACCATAAAAAAATAAACTCAGCAAATATTACATAATAAACCAGCATTACATTACAACATGAATCATTTTATTTTCTCTAAATTGAAACACACAACTGTTGTTCACAAGCACACCTAAGAGCAAGTATCAGGATACAGATTCAAACAAAACTCACACATTTTTATTCAATACGCACAGAAAGCAATTAAAAAAATAGATAATATTAGACAATATTCAACCCTCGGTCATGATCAGAAACATTTGTGGTCCAACACTGTGCATTGTTCCAAAAAAGGTAATTAAAAAGCTTAGGAAATTAATATTTACCTCTGCTGGTCCAGTTTGTTTACTACCAACGTATGTGCCACCAAATCGATAACCAGAATCGCCCAGAGTGCTCAGGGTAATGGTATGGCTGACTTGGAAGTGGTTACTTAAACCCTTGTTAACCACTAATCGTACCCCTTCCATCTGGAGAGGGAACACCTCTAAAAAACAAAGGAAAAGCCATTCAGCACCGTTTTGTTTTTCCCACTATTTACAACAATTGTACATCAGAACTATTGCTTAAAAGTTAAACATCAAACTTCCTCAAACAAAATCTGCAAGATATTTTAACACCCGAGCTTCTCACCTTTACACTTTCGATGGCACTCCTCGTATGTGCCTGGGTTTTGAAGCGACGAATCTGCAGACTTCTGACCAGATTCAGATGTTGGAGGGACTGAAGACACTGAGGGCATAGTGAACCCAGGAGGGACTGAGACCAAACCTGGAACCCCAGGAACACCTCCAGCTGCAGCAGGGGCTGGACTGGGTGAGGCAGCAGCTAACACACTGCCCATTCTCAGGCTGGAACAGACTGGAACACAGACTGGCAGTGGACAAAAAGATTGGTTAATTATAGTAGGAACTTGGTTATAAAATTAAAAAACACTGCTGGTTAATCACACGCGAAAGGTATTAATGTCTGTTAGCATATAAAGGTATTAATGTCTGTTAGCATATATGCTTACTTGTATGAACAAAGTTTTTTTTAATTAAAAGGTATTATTGAATATACTCTGACTATAAATGCAAAGCGCTTTAACTGGAAACCATTTAACATGGAAGAAACAAACACAAACTTGTAAAGCTTCTTGAAAGCTCAGTGATAGCAGGCTACTTACAAGGCCTAGATTAGTCAGAGTTCTTCTATACAAGACATCTTAGAAGCAACGTTATTATTATTATTATCATCAAACTACAACCTGTAGCTTTTCTAATGATACCACATTTAGAGATATGCAAAGCAGCCATTAAAAAAAACTATGCTAGCTGTTGTCTATGAACGCTAATAAGCTAACGGGGTGAGTGGGTTAGCAAGCTAGCTAGGTAGCCATGTGGAGTCGACCACGAGACTCTATCCTCTGAATATAACACACACAATAGTTTAACATACTAAAAGTGGCAACATGACATGATTAGAGACCCATATTTTATAAAGTCCATTAGTAATATTTTGGTTTAGCTACTCACGTAGACGATTAGTGTTCGGAGGATACTTCAACACCGGCAAAGTTCACCACAACGTCCGTGGCCGTAGGTCTCAAGCGCCCGCCCATTTCTTCCCAACTCAGCCGCCGATTGGCTGCTGTGCGTATCACGTCAACAGTCATTGGCTGAAATGAGTGTAGGGACGGTTCCATCCTGATGACGTATGAGGAGATTCATTCGCTGCACATTCGTTTATTTCAGGTTCTTGCTGAATGACATTCCAAGGGTACGCCTAGTTTTGGGGCCTTCACGTTATTGTATTGATTAAATTACAGAACTTATTATACAGCATTTATTTATGACTAAAATATATCAAGTGTATGAGTTTTTCTTGCAACTTGAGAATGATAATTAACATAATTACTGTGACAGGTCTCTCTGGTAAACGAGTCCTCGAGTTCAATAAGACTAACCTGTATAAATAAAGGTTGAATGAAAAAAAAAAAGACTGAACTTTAAGACAGCATAACAAATTTTAAAGCCTACTTGTTAGTAGTGTAGTATGAGTACTGCTGCGCACTTTAAGAAAGACAATGCTTTAAATCCTGTAAAGCTTGAGTTAATCGTCTCCATGAAAGAGGATACAAACCATTTGCAATTAACGTAATTGCTCTCCTACAGAAAAATCTGTGACAGTGAAAGATGTGTTTTCTCAAAATTAATTGAATTTAAATGCAATAAACTGTTAATGACAATGCTATAATAATTTCAACCTGGTCTTTGTAAGTGAATGAAAATTTTCTGTGACTTAAAATATACGAGTGCAGTAATGCATAGCATACATTTAGCAAAATAAGTAAGCATTTATCAGATGTTTGAAACTGTAAAACCTGTCTAACAGTTTTTTTTTTTTTTTTGCACAATGTTAACATTCTGATAAAATAATGCTGAAGCATGTTTGCATGTCAGTTTTATTAAGAGTTGCAAAATGAGGCAGCCATCAGTTAGGTCTATTCACTTTTATTTTACTTTGGGTTTCAAATTGGAGACCTGTTTTCTCATAGTTTATTGATAAATGTACTTATTGTTTAAGATAAGTTAAACTATCTTAGTCATTTCGGTGAAAAGAAATTAAATTAGAGATGATAAAATGTGAAATCAATTGATATTTAAATAAAATTGTGTGTGTTCTCACCTCTGTCTTGTATTAAAAATAATTAGAATCTGCTGCTTTGACAATGACCAAAGTTTTGTACCCCTTTGATGTGATCTATAGAACATTTTATTTGACATTTTGCAAACTAAGTTTTACTGTGGATGAAATCTGACTTTATGAGAAACAAAACTCCTTCACCACTGCAGGTAAATTGTTACTAACTGAAAGCAAAACTAATTTATTGTAACAAGAAAAAAGTGTCTTCTTTTTTTTTTTTTTTTTTTTAATCCTGTCAGGTTTGTGGGTAGCAATATAGAATACAGCCCGATATGTACCAGGTATATACTCTGAATACTTGCTCTGGAAAAAATTGTGTTAAGACAGTGAACTTCCTATCTTTTGGTCACAAAGGCCTAATACTGAGTCTTGTCTCTTAATACCAGTTCCTCAATCAGGTTGATTTCAAAGTGCTTCTGCAGGTGTTTGCTCTGGAAATGATAATTACAATCTCAGAACATATGAGAAACAGAATTTTGAGAGACAGCGAGCGCGGTCCCTTTTTATTTTACCTATATTATACTTGTTGGACTTCTCACCATGACCCATTGCACACTCATAGAGAAAGAAGAAGAGTAAAGCAGAAGATGATGGTGGCACGAAGACAGTAATGTCTTCAGTGGCGACCAAAATGTCCTGAGACAGCAACATGGCTGCCTGAAAAAAAAATATATATTCGCAAGAAGAGTTTGAAATTGGGAGGACTGCTGACTTGCTTTATAAATAAATAAAAAGAGTCATACACACACACACAAGACCCCTTTTCATCCATCACCATTAGGATCTTTGAAATGCATGAACATTTTATAAATACAAAAAACAAACAAAAAAATAATGCAGCTGCAGACTAACAGACTAAAGAAATGTACCATAGACACATTGCATCCTTATATTATTTTGGCTGTTCCCGTTTCAGGCATTGCCATAGTAAGTCATCCTTGTTCATCTAACTGTTTTCTGCATTATTTGTTCTAACTCCAACTACCTCCATGTCCTCTCTAACTCCATCCATATATCTCCTCTTTTTTTTCTTTTCCTGGCAGCTGCACTTCTAACACCCGTCTACCAGTATACCCACTGTCCCTCCTCTGGACAAGTTCAAACCATCACAGTCTGCTCTCTCTAACTTTATCTCCCAGTTGTTCAACCTGTGCTGTACCTCTGATGATCTCATTCCTAATTTTATCCATCCTTGTCACTCCTAAGGAGAACCTCAACATCTTAATTTCTGCTACTTCCAGTTCTATTTCCTGTCCAAAGGAATAGAAATGCTTCACTGCTTTTGTCATTAAGGCAAAATACAGCCAGTAAAATGGGGAATGGTTCACTGGATGAGAAAGACATTGGCTAACGATCCTAATGAGTGATATGGATAAACAGACCAGTTTAAAATAACATTCAAATTATTTGTGTGCAGTTATTCAACCTCATCATAAACTATAATATTTGTTTTTAACTAATTTTTATAAAAGCTTGGCTTAATTTTAAATTTTAGGTACAAAATGAATCTTAATTCACACTAAACAAAGGATCTCAGGTTTAGGGAGCTCTTGAACAGAGGAGGCTTTCTTCCAACTCATTTTTAACCATTTATAAGAAGTTCTTGCTTAGTACCCCACATCTTAATGGAGACACACACACACACACACACACACACACACACACACACACACACACAAACCTTCAAGATTACTGTTTACAAGATGAAGATTCTTGTGGAAGGCAACAGGCAGAAATATTGTAAAAATAATTATGACAAAGATCTGAAAATTATATTTATTATTAACAACTATAATCTTGTCATAGTTTTACTTCTGTTGTCTTTTGGGTGAAGCTTCAAACAATGCAGCATTAAACCTGAGTTTTATGTAGTTGCCAGTATCTATACATCTGCATTTGTCTGTCTGCCTGTTAGCAAAATATCTCATGACCATGGAATGGATTTTAAAGCAAGGCTTAAGTAATTGTTGGTGTTACAATGCTCAGATTTTAAACCCATTGGCAAGGAGAAGTTTAAATAAAATAATTTATTAAACTCAAAAACAAAGGCTGGCGAGGCAGCAGAAACTTACTCAAGAGAAGTTCGAGCAAAACAGGGCAGATCAGGTTGACAGGCGAGCAGGGACAGGACAGAACGGGACATCAGATAAATGGGACTGAGCAGATCATTGGATGGACAGAAGCAGACAGGGAAGTGGAGGACCAGGACGTCTGCATGAGAACAGAACAATGAGCGGATGTCTAAGTGAAAAAAGAGAACGCAGAGTCAAACACAAAGATCAGAAAGGAAAATAAAGACCAAAAAACACAAATAAATCAAACAAATGGACAGATTACCGTATGTCAGTTGGACCCACATCTATAACTACATTTTTGAGTCAACCAAATTCAAGATGGCCACCACAGCTAATTATTAAGTAGAAAAAAAACATACAATTTACGCAGTAACAAGTGTTTGACCATTGACCATGGTTTTCACCCATTTGTTTGAGGTGCTTGCAATACTAGCAAAAAAAAACAAAAAAACAACAACTTGTTTTTAACTTACAATCAACATAGTTTCCTAATCTGACAAGTCCACAAAAAATAAATTATTATTGACAAAATTATCAGGCAAATTGTGACAAGACACACATTAGTTAATGAATAAGAAACAGGACTGAAAAGAATTAAAACAGATTTTTCATTGGATACATTTAAATAACTTTGTGAAGATTATATACTAACAGGTTTAAAACTTTCATTGAGGAAAATTTTGGAGAGAAGCACCGATTTTAATGAACTTTCTAATCAATGCTGATAAAAATAGGCCCAATATCTTACTATTATCTATTTGATGCCTCTGCTGCTCCGAGGAAGGCTGGTGCTTTGATATTTGAGGATTGACCATGTGAAAGGAGTCTTGTATGTTTGTTGATTTATTACTGATTTATTATTATATCGCTTGATTTATTTCCAGGTCTGTTTGAGCCAATTAACGAAGGGATAAAATACACACAAATAATACTCCATAATTATAATTTAAAACTAACATGTCCAGTGGCGGACAGCACAGTGGCGCAACTGGTAGAGCTGCTGCCTCTCAGCGAGCAGGTCCCTGGTTCAAACCCCGGTCCAGGGGCCTTTCTAGGTGGAGTTTGCATGTTCTCTCCGTGCATGCGTGGGTTTTCTCCGGGTACTCCGGTTTCCTCCCACAGACCAAAAACATGCATGTTAGGCTGATTGGTAACTCTAAATTGTCCCTAGGTGTGAGTGAGAGAGTGAATGGTTGTTTGTCTCGTTTGTCTCTATGTGTCCCTGTGATGGACTTGCGACCCGTCCAGGGTGTACCCCGCCCATCGCACAGTGATTGCTGGACATGGGCACCAGCGACCCCCGTGACCCAAACTGGAATAAGCGGGTAAAGATAATGGATGGATGGATGGATGGATGTCCAGTAGCAGCTCCTGAGCAAAAATATCAGTGGTGGAACATTAATTTCCTGAAATTCTTTACAAATTGTGTTACATTTTCTGTAAAAATAAAATAAAATAAAGCAGTTATATGGTGCTTAACATTTAATTTACTGGGTTTTGTTTTTTGTTTGTGTGTGTGTGTGTGTGTGTGTGTGTTATTGTGTGTGTTTGTAAATTTTAGACTTTTTTCTCCCTCTCGTGGTCCAAGGTTGTGTTTTGTGGAAAAACAGTCCGGTCTAATAAATCAGAGAAATGGACGCCTCCCACACCCAGCTGACAGGTGCACAACTTTCTGAATTGGATTTCTAATTTGACTTGAAGTAATAATTCTGAAATAATTCTCCAGATTAGCACAGGTTTTTTTTTTCCTTTCAGCTGCTCCCTTCTTCAGGGGTTGCCACAGCAAACTATCTCACACAAAGCCTTGGCATTTCTTTTTACGCCGGATGTCCTTCCTGACACAACCACCGAGCTACCACAGCCCACTGGGTTGAGCAGAGAGCTGCCGTTTAGGGTGCTCAGAGGAGCAGATGGTGGGGGTAAAGGGTCTTGCTCAATGGCCCAGGGTAGGGCAAATGAGGGTGGAGACAGATGTGGGTGTTTCATCTTTCCAATCCATATTTTGATGTTGTCGGTCTGGGGAGTTGAACTGGCAACCTTCCAATCACAGGCCCACCTTCTCTAACCTCTGCCCCACCACTCCCACTCCAGATCAGCACAGTTAAATGGGAGAGTAAAAGGTCAGTGAAGTAAATCTAAAATAACATAAAAGTTAAAAAAGGATGATACAATATATCATCACTGAAACAAATCAGTGATCAGATCACTGAATCACTCAGTCATAAGACCACGGCTTTAACCACTTACCCACCACAGCCACACACACAGAAGCCATGTCATTGTTTAAATAAGATCCTACCACTTTGGTGGGAATTTCCTGTACTTTCACTTTCCTCTGTTCTTTTCAGTTTTTTGTTCTGGTCCCATCTATCTGCTCCAAATGGATTTGAAAACAGAATCTCTCCACTGTTGGTCTCAGCAGGTTTCACTGAAGCTATTCCTGGGTTTGAGCTCACATCAGGTCTTGGTAGAGGTTGTACTAATGGGCTAAAACCAGCTGAATGTGTCTAAAGAAAACAACATGAAGCTCAGTAAATAAGTAATTTACATTATTTATTAGGAGGCCAATAATTTAGGTGGGGCTCCACCCCACCTGCCCTTATGAACCAGCTGCCTCTGTTTTTATTTGTGCTTCTTGAGTCACAATGGGAACAAAAAAGCCTTCACGAATGTTTAAAAATGTTAAACAATCTTTATATAAACATTATACATTTTGGGGAAAATGGTTGAAAAAACACAAACAAGCACACTAAAGACACAGTACCATTATAAGATTATTCAAATCTAAAAGAGAGGGAGTTTGTCACATCAGAGAAAGCAACAGGAATATTCACAAACATTACTAGAGATATTAACTAAAGTTTGACTGTTCCTGTACCCTAGTGGTGAAGATAACTTAAATGTCCACTGTTCAAGTAAGGTCAGGAAAGTTTGTTGCTGAAACACTCTAATCGCCTCTTATTCACAGTAAACATCAAAAATTAGGGTAAAGTGGCTAGAACTCATATTTCATTGAGTTTTGTTCCATGTTATTTACAGATATATACAAGTGTTCATAAATCCATCAATGTATTTTACAATTTGCTCTATTTACATACAATATCATGAGTTCACGCTGACATTCATAAGGAGAAATCCATCTCATCACTGCAGCTGCTTGGCTCTCCAGTTTTCACATGTTGCAGCAGGAGCCATCCCGAGAGGTGCTACCAACCTCAACGAAGCCCAGTTCAGTTTAGTTTGCTGGGTATTTTGATCTGCCTGCTTACTGGTTCAACCATCCCATAAATGTCCTGAGTTTGAGGCTTATCTGTGAGGAGGTAGTTGAAAGTCCCCCCGGGAATGACAAAGAGTTAGTAAAATGGAAACTGTGCAGTTGGAGGTTTTGGAGAATGGGAAGCACCATGATAAAGGCCATGTGGCGTTGTTGAAGGTGAAGACCCATGGCTTTGGCTTGAAGATGGTGAACCTAAACAACAGCAGAGTACAAATGAGGAACTTATATGTATTTGTGTGCGATTGTACCGAGCTCTACGCGAACTTGTGTGAAAGTATTTACCATTTTCCATATAGTTGGTCCCGTGTGGTGAAACTGAGATGATGTATTGATCTTGAGCTCTGATCTGTTTGGAGCCTCTTCCCCGTAACACATCTGCAATCTACAAAAGATGTACAATAGATGTAATAAAAGATCTACAATGACTACCATAAAAATGTGTTTAACTCAACCTTATGTTAAGCAAAATGATAGTGGGGAACAGTGTATAAGTCATGTTTGGCCTCTAGAGGGGGGAATACACTTTTTATGACCGACTTCTGAATCACTTCTTTTTTTCCCCTTGGTGTCCTAGTCTGAGTTGAGTCAGTTAGGTTTTGAAATTGTTTGTATTTGTTTTGATGTAACTTTGGCAAGTGGATGGGATTTTCCATCTAAAGATTATTCAGTGCAATGAAAGTTTGGACAATCATTATGAAGTCATTTACAGACAATTTTGGTAATCTCTTTGTGATTTCCTGCTTTCCTAACTGGAATTTTCTTTGACCAGCATAACAGAATGAAACAAAACTGTAAGAGAAGAATTTCAGGAAGTTCTCATTATGCCCCCACCCCCCCACCCCCTTGTCATTTCCTCACTTTTTTGTTCTTGGCTACCATCACTGGGGTGTCATTGTGGTAGTTCTTGAAGCTGCTATCAGCTCCACTTTTTAGCAGCAGCCGCACAGTGTCCACCTGGCCCCGACCACAGGCGATGTGCAAAGCTGTGTTCCCACTGTAGGACTGGCTGTTCACATCACATCTATTCTGTGAAAAAGAAACAGGGGACCTTGATTCATAATGAAAACCAGAACAGATCCAGTCATGAAAAGGTAACCCAAAAATAAAGCTGTGGCCTGGGTGAGTTACATGAGAAAGAAATAAAAAGATTATTTTCAAATGAAAGAGGATGTAAACAAAAATACTCTTCTTATGTAGACCTTAACTATGTGTTAAAAGAACAATCTAAATTATGTGATAAGCTGGAAAGAGAAAACTAGTCTTTTTGAAAGGGGTCTAGTGACAAATTATCCCTCAATTTTTCCTCCCTGCCGACACAACCTTATTACCTCAATGAGGAAGTGGACCATGTCTGGATTATTACTCTCCACAGCGTGCATGAGAGGACTCTGGCCACTCTTGATATCCTGCAAAGAAAAGAAGGGTGGAAAGTTAAAATATGTAAAGAATGTATGTAAATGTAAAAATTATGACGCTGGGTAACTATCAGCAACAACTGACCATAGCATTGATGTCAGCTCCTGCATCCAGGAGCTTCTCAGCCAGATTCTGATGACCTTGCAGCACTGCCAAATGAAGAGGAGTCAAACCTGAGAACAGCAAGAAAATCCCACACTTTGTATTGGCGCTACAAAAAAACATTTAATAAGCATCCTCAAACGTATAATTCAAGTCAAGTCAGATTTATTCATAGAGCACATTTAAAACAGAAACTGTTACCAAAGTGCTTAACAAAAATATCACATCATCAAATAAATAGATATATATAATTCACTATTTTAGTTTCACACATTTAAAACTTTGTAAAAGAATAATATCACAACTTGGAAACGTAAAAGGTAATTGCCAAGTAGACCCAAAAATGAAATTTGGTGAACAGTGTTACGTGACACGGTGTTCGTTGTGGAAAGAACTAGGCCTGAGGTTACCTTTTGCGCTTATAGGTTTGTAACTTTCATACTAGCGAGATCTTGAAGCTGTGTGAAGATTTAACACTTCGACTTGACAAGAACACAAAGAAAGTAAATGTTCTCATGTCATCCCACCTACACATCCCCAGAACAGTTCAACCCCCATCTGAAGACAGGTTTACAGTTTTCACATTTCCTAACCCACTGCTTTGAACCGCTGAGGCCACTGTGGTTAAGAATGAGCCAAAACATGTCTGTTAAAAGCATTACAATAAAAAATGAACAATCTACTGAGAAAGTCTTTGTTCTTAAGGGAAAAGGAGAGTTGATTTTGACAAATTAAAATAGGATATTTACTTTTCTAAACTGGGCATAGTGACAGCTAAGCAAGCAGGAGAAGCTGTCTTACTCTGCACTGAGGCGTAATCAGCAACACGTACTGCACAGGCATGAGTTATTGCACTAATGAACAGTTGGACACTCTAAATTCAAGATGGATGATGAGATATATTCAGATTTTAGAGTAAAAATATGCTACAGACTGCAGCTCAGACTTGTCATTAAATGTGAATACCGTATTTTCCAGCGTATAAGTCGCATCAGTCAAAAAAGGCATCATGAAGAGGAAAAAAAACATATAAGGCACTTCGGCATATAAATCGTATTTATTATGCGTCACCTCTGACCCGTCGCATTTATTATGAGTTTATTTAATGGTCAAAACAGCGTCACTTTGCCTAGGCTGGGCGGCACCATCCATCCATCCATCGCGGCCGGAGCTGCTAGCTCTCCAGCGTTCCTCCGCCTGCACCAGCTCAGTGAAGCGAGTGCGCATGGGAGGACTCGCTGTTGCAGTTCTTAGAAATTTAAAGTGTCAGTCAAAAATTGCGTTATGAACATGGAAAAAAAAAATGTATATAAGTCGCTTTAGCGTATAAGTCGCAGGTCTGACAAATCTATGCAAAAAACGGTGACTTATACGCCGGAGAATACGGTACATCTAAAACACAAGGAATCAAACAAACAGTTTGGGAATGATTTTGTCTGCATAGTTAATCACTACTCAGGATGCTGTTTAATATATCGTATTATTTAACATTATTAGTGTTTAGCGTATATCTTAGATCCTTGTATACTGTTTCTTTTCATACTTCATATTTTTGCTATTTTTTGGGGGTGTAACTGGGACCTTGGGCACACAATTTTGTTCCACCTCATGTACCACGTGTGATGTGAATGACAATAAAGAACCTTGAACTTTGAACTTACCGTCAAAGTTTCTGATCTCCAGACATGAAGAGAACGAGGGGAAAGGAACCAGTACAGACAGGCAGTCGTGCTGGTCATATTCACAGCAGAGATGGAGCGCTGTTTGGCCATGACGGTCCAGGACAGATGGGTCAGCTCCCGCTCTCAACAAGACATCCACCATGTGTGCTTGTTTGGTTATCACTGCCAGATGAAGTGGCGTCTGAAGGAGGACGAAAAGTGAACGTTTATGTATTCAGGTCCATGACAAAACTTCTCAAAGTAGATTTTTATTCCACTAAACAGCACAAGTTACTAGACATTTGTCTTCAAGAGTCATTGAATTAAGGTGAGTTTTTTTTTTTTTTTTTTTTGATTATTTGATTTTATTCTGTATGTACTGGTAATTATTTTAAAACAAGTGTCTGTTGTTGTTTTTTTCTCTAAAAATCTTTATACAACTATGCCAACCCCGTTCCTTAATTTTAAAATGTCTACAAAATGTTGACTTATTTATGGAAGCCCATTTCCGCCAATGAAAATAAAATAAAACGTCCAATGGTACGTCATAATTTTGACTTTCAAAGACAAAATTATGACATACCATTAGACGTTTTATTTTTTTTTCAATGACAGAAACAGGCTTCCATAACTCTTAAAATAAATAAATAAATACATGTACTGGTATTTCTGTATGCAAAGATGATAAAAATGTATGTAATGATTTCCAGAAAGGTATTATTTCATTATGTATGATAAGGATCAGTGTCAGAACCAAACAATGCCTCTAGTCCAGGACTATTCAACTAAATTGCCCTGCGGACCACAGTTACTGAAAGTCAAGTGCTCAGGGGTCAGACATCCAACAGTTATTGTAATTAAATAATTTTTTTTTTACGGTTTAAAATCTACTTTTATTTAAAAATTAACCCAATTTGTGGGCCCAACTGAGCTCACTTGTGAGCCTGATTTAGCCCCCCGTACCGCCAGTTGAATACCCCTTCTCTAGTCTGTGTCAACACCAAGTTGTAGAAAAACTGGACCAATAAAAAATACTTAACAGAACTCGTGCCAATTTGTGCTGTATAGATTTTAAATATAAGGACAAAATCAGATAATATTCTGCACAGACACCAGTAGAGGGTAACGTTTAAGCAGCATCTTGGTTTACGTTTTCATTACTTGATTCTACTCTGCACAGCTGGTTCCAGTTTTATTCTCTTGACGCTGGCAAGATCAAATGTTGATCCATCTTAGTTGCCAGTGAACATGTTCATGCAGCAAATTATGCAATGGAAAAGCATTATTTTATAGCCTGACCCGATGAGCGAACACAATGATAAAACATTGACCTCAGCGTTTTGGTCAACAGTAGTTAGATAAAAAAGCCTTTTTGACAACCAAAGGGGAAATCCCCTTTGGTTGTCTATTCAGCCAGCAGATGCAGCTGTTGCATTCATATGAGGTTTATTAAGGAAAACAAGAGTTTATATTAGGCTCACATCAGGAATGCACACCAAGCTTCCAAACACAGTGTTAATGTGGTTGGACAGATTATTGCAGTCTCTTTGTAGTATGCACAAACATAATTAGCCTATGCACATAATTCATAGCTGTGAGCGACTAGATAAAGATCAAGAATAAATCTGTCAAGTGAGACATTTGCACCACATTTCACGGAACAAATACCTTCAATGTCAATCCTCGCATGCGATTAATTCAAGACGAGCAGGAATTGTTGGCTTTCATGAAGGAAGAAGTTGAAGTTACATTTTATTTTCTCAGAAACAATCTTATGAAAGCTGAACAAAGCAATCAGGACGTTGCATCTCAGTGAGGTCGGCATGTATCGTCTTGCAGAAAATTACAAGGCCAAAGAGGGCATGGGCCTCAGCTGTTTGAAATTACGCAATGATCAATGGGTCATAAAGGGAAGTTTTCTAATTTGGGCGATGTGGCTGCTTTTCATGTTATTCAGAAATGAAGCAATCAGTAACACATTGTAGCACAACGTTTCATTTTTATGCGTGTGTATGTGCTGACAGTTTGTTCCAGTAAAGACTATAAAAAACGAACCATAAGAGCATATCTGTGGAATTCCTCCATTGTGTCAAAGTGTTTCTTGCTTTAGCTTCCCTGAATCTAATGACTCACACGCACAAACATGTGCACACAATGAAACACACATCAATCAGTTTCCTTTTTACATAATTTACATAATTTGAGCTTCATATAATCATAAAGAATGTTTAAACAGCACTGTGTACAGCAGTTATGGGTATATTTTGAAGTTGTGTCCCCTCAACTTCCTGGACTTTATAATGGTTTATTGGCTGCCAAGCGCATACAAGCACTACAAACAGTACGGTAACTATAATTACTGGTAGTGCCTTTACAGTCGTCTTTTACTGTAACTTTTAACTGAGTAACTTACAACAACTTTATTGGTCGAACAGTAACAACTTTAAAACGTTTTGTGACCACAAGGCCTCGCTCTTGTTTTATCATAAATATGCATACTGACTGAATATGTTATGCCAATGCAGACATGTTCCTGTTTTTACTATTCTACATCACTTTACAATGTAGCTGTTTTTGTTTAGTTTTTTGCAATACTTTTTCATTTATTCGTCTTAATTTATATGTTTTCTTTTGTGATTGTCTACTGTTACCATCATTCTTTGTTAAAAACAGGTCTCTCTTGTAAATGAGTCCCCGAGGCTCAATGAGACTAACGTGTATAAACAAAGGTTTAATGAATGCCAGGACAAAGAGCACCTTCTGAGAAAAGGTAATGCTACCCTTTCATAAACATGTGTGTTCAGTCAGAAAATATGTATGATATACTGTATCTAGTGTTCAAACTAAGAAAATGCATTTTTGTTTTAAAGAAATGAAACTACACTGTAACAACAAGAGTGTTACCTTTCAATTTTCCAAAGTTTATGAATTAAAGAAATATACAAAACAAATAATAAATAGAGAGGGGAATAAAAAATGTGGAGATTGTTCCGCTTTGTGTCAAATCAATCGTGAATGACCTATACCACTTTTCCTGCACTACTTTAGCATCTTTTGAGCACAAGAGTTGCATGAGCGTTGATTCTTCCCTTCAAAATGCATTAAAACATTGTGTTGACCTTGACTAGTTGTTTGCTAGCATGTTAGCTGATTTATTTGTCAAAAAGTGCAGTTTATCTTACCAGTTCAAAATGACAAGGACTCCAAAACAAAACAATAAAAAATTTGAGGAAACTGTAGTTTGACTTGTCTATAAAAACACTTGGGACATTGCTAACACTTCTCGCAGTATAATAGCTGAGATAGATGAATCAATAAGTTTTTCGTTTTACCAAATATTTTGTATTTTTATGTTTACCATAGTTATGTTTTATATAGTGTCTTAAGGTACCCGTTGACTCGTGTGGACCTCAGTTTGCGCAGAAACTGTGCGCTCTGTCCGCAGACGGTTGAGACTTCATACTCGAGCGTCCACCCTGGCCGGCTGCAGCCCAGCTCCGCAGGCAAGGGGTGTTTACCTTTGGGACAAATTAAGTTTGCCAATTGGTCATTTGCTGACACGCCTACTGGACTGATTGACAGGCCACAAAAAAAAACACAGAGCCTGCAGCCCACACATCAGACCGGTCCACTGGGAAATCTCCAGACACTCCTTCAGCCACGATGGGACTGATTTTAATTTGCTGGTGACAAATTCCTTAATTTCCCACAATTTCAGTCATGGCGTCAATGGATGAGGAGGAAGAGATCCATTGCCTCTTGGAAAAAATCAAAACAAAAGAAAAGGCCATTAAACCAGACCACGGATGAAGAAAGTGAATTTAATACATTGGTGTCACATAAAAAACAGTCTGTCGCCGGCAATTTATTGTGCAACACTGAGTATGTGTACGCGGTCGTAAATATTGATCTTTGCACGGACATGCCCTGCAGGCATCCGCGTCGAGTCTAATCCGGTACGCGCGGACCTCAGCGGACTGAGGTACGCTCGAGTCTGAGGGAGCCTTTATTCCTAAAAAAGTTTGTTTTGAAAGCATTTTTTTTAAACTCAACATTACCAACCCCTCCCATCCCCAATTTCTCAATACCCTTCATAGCACTAATGCAATTCACAGTCACTGAGTGATTCCCAGGACAAAGACGTCCCTATTTACTCTGAAGTCTTTTACGGCCTTTAAAAAAAAAGACTCTTCAGAGTTGGCAGACTCAAGTTTTGGCTTCCTGTAAGAAAAATTAGAGTGACTAAACAAAACTCCATCATTGATAAGAGACAATGTCGAAAGAGAGGGAAGGGAAAGTTGGGGTGGGGAGACAAGCGGAATGAGGAAAAGCAGAAGTGCCAAAGGGTAGTCCAGGGGGAAGACAGGACAGCGAGGGAAAATCCCTTATCTTTCCCTGGAGTGTATTCTCATTTACAGGCATTCCTACAAAATGACTTGATCAACACGAATGAGATGAAAAGATAAGTAGAGATTTATGAGCATGAAAAACAGCTCAAGGCCATAGGCACACACTGGCAGGTGAAACTCAACAGAAGAAGAAAAATCTTCTTTTATTTTTCTTTTGCAATGAACACAAGAGGCTGAAGCCAATACTGTTGCACAAATAAACAGCACTACTGTCAGTGTTGTTGACAGTTATACTGATAGCATCAGACAGTTTGTTAATTTTGGTTAAAGTCTCGAAAAGATATATGCAGTGCAAGATATAAAAAAACACACACACACACTGAGGATGTCAGATAGAGAAGCACGCGCAGGAAGGGAAAGTCCCTGTAAACTACCCTCTGAACCTCAGAGCAAGGTATGTTGAGAAACAGCCCAAAGCAAAGCAGGCAGGGAGGGGTGATGGTCATGTGACTTCTCGGAACAAGGATACTAACGCGTACGTAAACACACACAGACGTTTCGTTTGTGTTTATGCATGCGCATACACACATTCTTGCACACACACACAATTTTCTTTAAAGCATGCCAGGCATCAGGTTGTACTTTGTACATTAACATAAATATTACTGTATAGTATTTTTTACTAGCCACACCACAGAACCTACAGCTGTTAAAAAAAAACCAAATGCATTAAGTCATCCGAGCATACTGTCACATCTGCAGCGCTAAGAGTTTCATTCACCAAACCCCACCAATATAAGCACAACCCAGTCAACTGTCACAACAATAGCAAAAAGTAGACTGTGTGTTTCTGTAGGCACCTTGATAACATGGCCATCGTGGGAGTATCAAACAGCTGTCTCCTAACCAACGTAGTGGAAAACAAATCTTGTTCTGACACGTGCACTATTGTTCAACAACGGTACTGATAGTAACACTCTGTCAAAAAGTTCCACATACAAAACCACAGAAACTCAGGATTTGTCATCAATATTGGGAAAAGAAACAACAACTCTGTTGTTTAATTTCTGTCTTTTGGATGTTGGTCAATGCTGGAAAATGTGCCCAACCTACTAAAATGTATGTTTTGAAAAAGTAAAAAACTTCCCTGGCCTCATTTAGATAAGTGTGTTCTTTGTGCCTGGTATTCAGTCAAAACCACACAATCTGGTAGGCAAATGACTGTGATGGGACTTGTGCCTGTAAATCTCCCCTTCTGGTTTTAATTGCACATGATATAGTGTGTGTGAAAGGGGGAGGGGGGGGGATGAGAGAGAGTCTGTTGCGTGCAAGCATTTTCATAGACAGGGCAGACACAGGATATCACAAAACCTATGTTGTCAAGCCTCAGCGATAAGGAAAAAGAACAACTGATGATAGCAGCAGCATTATTTCTGGTAAGCATGCCTGCAGCGTCCTGTGTGGTGTGAAACCCCAGTCTTGAGAACTGCAGCGCTGCACAGCTCAGGTGCTTTTTCGGTTGAAAGATGAAAAAGACACAGCTGGCAGAGAGCAGATAAGCAAGGCATTGAGGTTAGGACAACAAAAGAGGGTAGAATGTGGAAGCGTCGGGTCAAAAGCAGTGGTTGGGGCAGCCCTGGTTTAGGAAACGCTCGCATTCCTTGTGTACATTCCAGTAAAGATACTATCTCTTACGCGTCACATGAGATTAGTAAGCAAGGAGTTGAAGAAAAGCTACACTTTTTATCATGACATCGACGTAGGTCGGTGCAAACATCCATAACTCATCCAAGACTTTATACTCCTGAAGAATAACACAAAACATCTATTGGAAAAAAAAAACATGATTATTCACATTTCTTTCACTAACGGTAAGATCCTGAAATAACCTGTGGGTGCAAGGTTCAAAAAGTTTAATGGGAGTTACTCTTTGTACCTTTCTAATTGTCTTGGCATTCCTTTCATGAATGCTACACCCTACACGTAAACCTAGAAAATTCCCTAGCCATAGGGAAACCGATTGACAAAAAATTGTGCACAAAATAAAAACAGAACACTGGAAAGCACGCACAGTCCTTCCCAGAATGCACATGGCTTTGCTCTTTTGGCTAGAACAGGTGGAGAAACAAGGTAAATGCCACTTTATTAGCCTCAGCCATCATGACTGTGACAGTGTTCAGTAGCACATTACAAGGAAAGGAGGAACCCAAGGCACTTCCTCTTTAATTTTCTTCCATGTTGCTGCTGTCAGAGGGTTGAGGCAGAGGAATGGGTTTTACATGCTGATGTTGAGATAGAATGCCCTAAAAACTTGTATCTAACATTCTGTTGACTTTCTTATAAAATAAGACGATGTGCGTGCACAATATAAAAGTCATGATCTGTGTATTTTGAGATGCGCCATCGTTTTGACATTTGCATCACCTGACGGAGATGGTTGTAGATATCGAGGTCTCTGTGAGCCCACAGCAAGAGTTCGATGAGTTTGCAGACCATGGACATTTCTCCCTGCACCACAGCTATATGGAGCGCCCTGCAGTAGAAACAAACACAACAATTTTTACTCATGCAACAAAAGAAGGGCATTCATCAGGTTCACAGCTCTATCCTGACAGACAGGTTGTTGGCATAAGAAGATAATTAAACATGTGATATGTCTTTCACTGCTTTATGATGATGTACTGCAGCTAAGACTCATAGGAGATCTCCTCAAGTGGCATAAATAGCATTAAGGCTCCCTTAGCAGACACTTGAATTGAGTATGACTTAATATTGCACAAAGAAGATTATTACAGTTCTGATGTTTGTCATCAAACACAAATCAAAAGCAATAAAGAAGCAAAGAGACACAAAAAAGCATAGTATATATTATGTTGGTGTGCATACACTGCATTCATCTCAAGGCATATAGGGCCTATGATCTTGAGTCTGTTTGCATAAAGACATAATAGCAACAGCTCAATGCTTGTCAGCATTTTGTGGACAAATATTTTAATCGCTTTTCTTGTGACTCCAAATGAGGAGCCAGAGGATAGAGGTGGTAGGACTAACTGACAGTTAGGTGTATGCCATACTGAGCAGATTAATGACAGAAGAAAAGTAACAGGGTTCTGACACGTCTTCTAGCTCCAGGCTAGTCTGTAGCTACACTTCAGCGTTCCTGTGCGATGCAAATCCGACAACAGAAAAACACCCTGAGAGGCGTCAGATGTGTTCAGTGCAGATTTCCCCCATTGAAAGTGAAGCACCACAACATGCTAATGTGGGTAAAGGCTTTGAAAGTTTACAAAAAGTTTACTTCATCTGGCATCTGCAACACACTACAACATACCTAAATATGCTCCTTCAGGGAAATTAACTCATGACTATAAATCTTATGATGCCGGTTTAGTACTGTTTTGTTATGACGGTTAACCTCCTAGGATCTGGCATCCACATATGCAAGTTCAAGGTCTTAGAAGGTTAAAGTTGCCTTGCACTGAGCACCTTGCAAAGGTTTAAAAAGTGTTAGTTTTTTAAATAGCATGTTTTGAAGGAATGCATACAACCTGAGTTTTGCACTAAGATTATTTTGTGATGAAAAATGACAAAGTTGCAACCGTTTTAATCAAACATTGAAAAATAAAGCTATGTGCAGTGTCATGCATTAGCTGTCACATTCAGAGTGTGTGTTGTGAATGACTCTCAGCTACAACTGCACCAAAGTGTAGTCTATAAATTAATTAAAACCACAATGGATCGGGCCTTACATTTTTTTTACTGATCTATATGTGAAATAAAATGGAAAATAATAAAACAGAGAACATAAAATGCATATTTCATAACTAAAGACATTTAGATACAAAAGGCCTTTACAATGACAGGACCACATCTGTTACACACCATAGTCAAGTGAAGGTTCAGTTGCATTCTCATGGGGAACTGAACCTCTGAATTTTAAAGAAACACTAACTATATATATATATATATATATATATATCTATATATCTATACATATAT